CGACTCATAGCGACCCCTCCTTGGGTTTCCGAGGCAGTATCACTACGGAAGTAGGATTGCCCAACCTTCCTTCCGAGGAGTGGCTGGTGGGTTTGAACCTGCCAACCTTCTGGTTAGCAGTCAAGTGCCTCAGCCACTATGCTACCAGAGCTCCCAAAAATCAAATTATTACCTGTATAATCACTAAAAAGCCCTTCCAAAAAACTCAATACCTATTCTTTTTTTTGTTTTGTTTTGTTTTTAAGCACTCAAAATAGGAATTGATGGATACTTTTTAACATGATAAAATTATAGAAACCTCAGTCCTAAAGCCAGCATCTTCTTTATGGGGAAGCATTACAGGCTGCCCCAGTAAGGTAAAGAACAAAGGCAAAGATACCCACTATCTCCACTGCTTTTTAACACTGAATGAGAAGTATAAGCCAAAACACCCAGACAAGAAAATAATTAGAGCTATAAAAACAATTGAACCATTTTTATTTGCAGATGATATGGCAATGTACCTGGAAAACCTAAGAGAAACAATGTTAAAAGCTTACACATGGCCAATAACAGAATTTAGGAAAATACCAGGATTTTAAATTACATAAAATAGTCATCATGAAAGTGTGACCACACACTCTGGGGATACGGAGAAACAGGCATTGTCATACATTGCTCGGTAAGGATGTAGAATGATAGACCACCTAGGGCAGAAAATGTGACAATATCTAATGAAATTACATATTCATGGAACCTAGCAATCTCATTTCTAGAAATCTATCCCAAAGAAATATTGACAAAATAATATTGTTAAAGCACCCTAAAAAGGAAATGATGGATACTTTTCAACATGAAAAATATATATAAACCAAGAGTAGCTACTGTGACAAATGCATAAGACTATTCACTTCACTATGCCCAGCAACAGTGGCTGACTAAATAAACTAAGGTTCAATGGCAGTTCTAAATGAGGAATGAAGAATATCTCTATATAATGTATTTAGTGATCTCCACTTCATACTTTATATAAAGATGTATGTACTCATACCTATTAATATGCATATACTTACACATATGCATATATATGTGTAATTTTTACATGTGTATATGTTATGTATGCATACATATATATGTTGTTGTTGTTATGTGCCGTCGAGTCGGACCTGACTCATAGTGCCCCCTCCTTGGGTTTCCAAGGCAGTATCACTACGGACCTATTTTCCTTCCGAGGAGTGGCTGGTGGGTTTGAACCATCAGCCTTCTGGTTAGCAGTCAAGGGCTTTAGGCACTACTCTACCAGAGCTCCAGATATATACACACACACACACACACACACACATATATATACACATGTATATATACACATATATATACATATATACACATATATATATACATACATACATATATATATATATATAAACACATATATAATTTTTAAAATGAAAGAATAAACCAAAAAACTTTCCATCCATGGTTAACTATAGGAGAAAGAGTAAACAAGGTAGATGGGATAAAAGTTAGGCTTGTATGAATATACTTTGTTTTGTAGATTTGACTTTAAAAGCATGCAAATATTTTACTTAATTATAGAGCAATTATATAGCCATGAATACAAAAGTCCGCATGTGGCTCTTTTTAAGGCTAAGAACAATGCTGAAAGGAAATGAGAACATGCAGTCTGACATGACATTTCTTGGGTCATTCTTTCCAAAAATAAGTTAAGGTGTGCTGGTTGTGAGGCTAGAGAAAGAGAGTAAGTACTGATTGAGAGACTGCAATGCATGACTTACCTCAACCTTGCTCTCAGGTTCATGGTCAGCAGCCGGGAAATACACAACCTCCTGCACTTCATCTCTGGGCCGGGCTGAATTTTTCCCAAATACCACCAGACCATCCTTAGCACGTGGTGGGAAGGCCACAAAACAGTAACTTGGAGGAGCTACAGCCATCCTGAAAAAAAGAATACCAGCGAAAGAATGGAAGCAGGCCAGACATGAAACCCTTCCAACCACAACTTCTTCAAACATATTTCACCAGCTAAAATAGTTTTAATATTGAACTGTGTGCAGCTAGCTCATTAAGAGATCCCAGCTGGCAAATGAAGGTGAGACACCTGGAGTAGAAATACAAAGCCACCAAGACCAGATATTGTTTAGGACTCCGTGGGATTAAATGAGCTCAGATTTGCAACAAACTGCAATGGCAGCCAAAAGTGCAGGGACGTAGGAGAGAGGAAAGGAGGTTATTGTTCCTGGCAGAAAACACACACTGCAATCTGTCACAGTAATAGAAAAATAAATAAATGCAACAGTGCACTCTCCAGGACCTCAGAACTACAGTTTCATGGCTGCAATGTAATGGATTTTGGAATGTTGTTGTTGTTATTTGCCATCGAGTCGGCCCCGACTCCTAGCGACCCCTCCTAGGGTTTCCGAGGCAGTTATCACTACGGAAGTAGGATTGCCCAACCTTCCTTCCGAGGAGTGGCTAGTGGGTTTGAACCGCCAGCCTCCTGGTTAGCAGTCAAGTGCCTTAGGTACTATGCTACCAGAGCATGGTTAAGTGCTTGGCTGCTATCCCAAAGATCAGCAGTTCAAACCCACCAGCTGCTGTGTGGGAGAAAAGACCTGATAATCTGCTCCCATAATGATAACAGTATAGGAAACTCTGTTCTGTCCTGTAGGGTTGCTATGAGTTGGAACATACAGCAGCAGCAACAAGGAAACAGATCTATAGGTAAATTGAAAGACACCACTTTTTAATATTTTTACCCTACTTTGTTGACAAAACAGTCAAGCATCTTTTTGTATTCCTCCCACCTCTCTAGATGCTCCTAGGCTTGCTTTTTCTCTTCTACTTGGCCATTAAGAGTCCTCACTGTTGATCATTCTTTCTTCATTTAATGCACTTTCTGGAAGAAAGAGCTCTAGCAGTGCAGTGGTTAAGGTATTCAGCTGCTAACCAAAAAGAAGAAGTGTCCAACGGTTTGATTCCACCAGGTGCTCCATGGGAGAAAGATGTGGCAATCTGCTTCTGTAAAGATTTAAAGCCTTGGAAACCCTATGGGGCAGTTCTATTCTGTCCTATAGGGTCACTATGAGTCAAAATCAACTTGATGGCAGTGGGTTTTTAGGTTCACTGCAAGGAGTTCCTGGGTGATGCGAACAGTTAACATGTTTGGCTACTAACCCAAAGACTGGAAATTTGAGTGTCTTGGAAGAAGGGTTTTGCAACCTACTTATGAAAAATCAGCCTTTAAAAACCCTATGGAGCATAGTTCTACTTTGACACACATGGGCTACCATCAGTTGAAATCAACTCAATGGCAATTGGTTTCTCTTGGAAAATTCATCCATGCCTAGAGTTTCCTTGTCATATATGTATTAATGATGATTTATTCATTTAACTCCTGCCCACTTTCCTTCTTGAGCTCCCAAACTGCCTACCTAATATCTAAAGTTTATTTTAACATCTTCCTCCCCAAACTGGTTTCCTTAGCAAGGTTCCCTGTTTCAGGAGCCATCCTTACCATCTGCTTCTCCATTACTAACCTGTCCCTTAACTGTAAATTTGGCCTCCTGTATCTTTAACCATCTCTTCTTCACCTCTACTGCCACCATCCTGGACCAAGCCACCATTCTCTCTAGCTGGAACCACTGCAGTAGTCTCCTAAGAGGTCACCCATAATCTCTACTATCCCACTCCAAAATATTCTCCATGCTGCAGCCAAAGTGACCTTTTGAAAAGATCTGATGGTGTCATCCTCTGCTTAAAATTCTTCAGAGGTTTCCCATTGTTGTTATAATAAAGACCAAAATCTATATTGTGGCCCATTTGTGTGATTAAGCTTGGACCACCTACACAGCCTTAACTCATACCATTCATCCCTCCACTCACTCAACTCCTGCATGCAGGTCTTTCTCTAGTTCCTGCAATACTCCCAGAGCCTTTGTGCATGCTTTACCCTCTTCCTTGAGCACTCCTTTCCCCAACTCCCTACACCAAAACCAACTGGAGAGTTAATTCAGCCCCTTCGCCTATCAACTGAAATGTCACTTTCATTTATGTTCCTCTACTATACAGTCTCATAGTATCTTGCCCTTTTCCTTTACAGTAACAATCACAATCTGAAATGTTTCTGTAATTATTTTCTTGCCAACAATCAATATTTAGTCTCTCCTCCCTCCCCCAAACTTTAAGCGATATGAAGGCAGGGGCCATGTCTCTTTTGCACACCATTGTAAACCCAGCTCTACACCATGTCTTATGCAAAATAGATTTTCAATAAGCATTGAACTAATGCTCTTTTCTTGTTTCTATACTCCACCAAGCTGAAACAGACTGTACCACTCTCTTTTCTCACCACCATGCATGCCTCTTCTGAACCTAGCTAGAATACCCTTCCTTTAGTCTTTGTGCTTATCCTTCATGATCTGATTCAAATCCTCTTCTTTCAGGAAGCTTTCTATAAAAGACTTAGTCATTTATTCAGGCCAAAAGCACTAATGAACACAGTTTGTGTTAGGTTAACATGCATTCATTGTTTGTAAATGTACTTTCTCAACTATTCCAAAGAAAGCTCCCTGAAGGTAAGAGCCAAGCCCCAATTACAGTTGCACCTTCCCCACCCCCCTGCATTATATGCATTCAATAAACATTATCTGTTGAACCAATTACTGTATTTGTGTTATCAACTATCCAATTTAAATGTGTTTTATTTTCTGAGTTAAGCAATATCTCAAAAGAGCACTAGGCTGGGAATCAAAACCCAGTCCTACCACCTACTAGCTATTTGATTTTGGGCAAGTCATTTTCCCTCTCTGAACCTAGGTTTCCTCTTCCGCAAATGTTTTGCCCCAGCCTACGGATTTATGAGGATCAAATAAGATGATGCTTGAGAACACATTTTGCAAACTGTGGAGGCTCTATAAGCATTAAGATGTAGGTTTTGACCGTAAAAACAGAGCAGCATCTCAATTCCTATTGAGCAAGCCAATCAAAACTAACTTAGTCATTCATAACTAGTTGTTCTTAGGTGCCGTAGAGTTAATTCCAACTCATAGCAACCCTCTGTACAACAGAACAAAACACTGCCCAGTCTTGCACCATCCTCACAATACCTGATATGCTTGAACCCATTGCTGGAGCACTATGCCTATCCATTACATTGAGGGTTTTCCCCTTTTTTGCTACTTTGCACTTTACCAAGCATAATACCCTTCTCCCTCTGACAATGTGACCAAAGTTGGTGAGACGAAGTCTTGCCATTCTTCCTTGCAAGAAACATTCTGGCTGCACTTCTGCCAGGACAGATTTGTTTGGTCTTTTGGCAGTTCATGGTATTTTCAGTATTCTTCACTAACACCACAATTCAAAGATTCTTCTTCAGTCTTCCTTATTCATTGTCCATCTTTCACATGCATATGAGGCAACTGAAAATACCATGTCTTGGGTTAGGGCACTTTAGTCTTCAAAGTGACATCTTTGCTCTTCAACACTTTAAAGAGGTCTTTTGCAGCAGATTTACCCAGCGCAAAGCCACATCTGATTTCTTGACTGCTGCTTCCATGGATGTTGACTGTGGATCCAAGTAAAATGAAGTTTTAACGACTTAAATCTTTTCTCCATTTATCATGATGCTGCTCATTAGTCCAGTTGTGAGGATTTTCATTTTCTTTATGTTGAGGTGTAATTCATAACTGGAGCAGTTGTCAAATCATAGAATCAGCAATACTATACATGTTTAGAAATGTTTTTGTGAGAGACCATGTTGCTATTCCACACTGAGCTACTTCAGGCCAGTCTGCGAAAACACACCTGGGTGCTCAGAGTTCTTCCCCGCTGTGTTTATGGTAGGCACCTACCCAGAGTGCAGGGAAAGGGGAGAAGTCCCCATAATTCTGGAAATAATTCCCTCCTAGCTCAGTAAAGAGCTCTAGTGCACAGTGGTGAAGCACTGGGCTGCTAATCAGAAAGTTGGCAGTTCGAACCCACCAGCCAGCAGCTCCACAGGAGAAAGATGAGGCAATCTGCTTCCATAAAAATTTATAGCCTTGGAAACCATATGGGGTAGTTCTACTCTATCCTACCGAGTCCCTGTGAGGAGTAATCTACTCAATGGCAATGGGTTTGGTTTTATTTTTATTTATTTTTTATTGTTTGGTTTGGCTCAGTAAAATACACTCCCCTTCTGTGAGAAAAGGAGCTCTGGTAGCATAGTGCCTAAGACACTTGCCTGCTAACCAGACGGCTGGCGGTTCAAACCCACCAGCCACTCCTCGGAAGGAAGGTTGGGCAATCCTACTTCCGTAGTGATACTGCCTCAGAAACCCAAGGAGGGGTCGCTATGAGTCGGGGCTGACTCAACGGCACATAACAACAACAACAATCTGTGAGAAAGCAAGGACAATAAAATGATGCAAGTTATTTCTCCCCTTAACCTTTCCCATTTTCAAAAAAACTGCATTATCTTCATTCAGACTTCAGAACAGAGAGAGAAACAGAGATGTGCAGAATCTGTACATGGAAAAAGATCCAATAATTTTAAGATGAAATGCTTTTATATAGAATTTTCAAAGTCCCTGGATGGTGTAGAAAGTTAAGTGCTCAGGTGCTAACCAAAAGGTTGCAAGTTCAAATCCACCCACAGGTGCCTCAGGACCTCCTTTTGTAATCCCTTTCAAAGTGCCCTGCAGTGGTAGACAGGCACCATCTAGTTCTTCCGGTCTCAGAGCTGTGGAAATTGAGGTCCAATCAGTCCATTAGTCTTCTGGGCTAATTGTTTCCTTGGGTCTTTGATTTTCTTCACTCTTCGCTCCAGACAGTGGGAGAGATCAATAGTTGCACCTTAGATGGCAGCTCACAAGCTTTCAAGACCCCAGTTACTACTCACCAAAGTAGGATGTAAAACACTGTCTTTGTGAACTATGTTATGCTAATTGACCTTAGT